GAAGTTCTCTGTCAGTGTATGGTTGCAACCATTTTTGCATGATCTTTAGCAAAATTTTACTTGCATACGATATTAGTGATAATGTCTGATGATAGCCATATTCCATTGGGTCACTTCTCTTTGGAATGGGCACAAATATGGATCTCTTGCAGTCAGTTGGCCAGGTAGTTGTCCAAATTTCTTGGCACAGATGAGTGAGTACCTCCAGTGCTGCTTCAGTTTGTTCAAAGATTTCCCTTTGTATTCCATCAATTCCCGGTGCCTTGTTCTTTGCCATTGCTGTTAATGCACTACGGCCTTGGTGATAGAAACAATGATGGAGATCGCATGATAGAATTTTGCAAGGTCAATGACTCCTTCATTGCAAAAACCTTTTTTAAACAACATAAAAGACTACTACACACATGGACCTCACCAGATGGAATACACAAAAATCAAATTGACTACATTTGTGGAAAGACATAGTGGAAAAGCTCCTTATCATCAGCCAAAACAAGGCCAGGGGCAGACTTTGAAACAAACCACCAATTGCTCATATGCAAGTTCAGGATGAAACGAAAGAAAATTAAAACAAATCCACAAGAGCCAAAATAAGACTTTAAACATATCCTGAAGGACCGATTTGATGCATTAGACACTAAAGACTGAAGACCAGAAGAGTTGTGATGGTCCCTCTTTCTCTGCTTGCTTCTCTTTCCTTCTATCTCTTATAAAAGGTGATGGAAGCCACACACCAGGCAAACTCTCCTTACATTAGATCAGGGCTGTGCTCTGAGTAAAGGTGTTGCATCGGACCCTAATCCCCTAACAATGGATTTCCTGATTACATCAGATCACATCATGGGGGATGATTACATCATCACGTAACTGCCAAACCACTGAGAATCGTAGCCCAGACAAGTTGACATACATTTTGTTGGGGGGACACAGGCACCTAAAAACAAATTTGTTGGGAGCTGAAAGCCTCATTTTTCTCCCGTGGAATGGCTGGTAGCTTCGAACTGTTGACCTTGATGTTAGCAGCCCAACTCGTAACCACCACACTACCAGGGGATTACTACATCGTAACTGCTAAATCACCAAGAATCCTGGGTCAATCAAGTTGACACAAAACCTATATTTTGTGTCACAATTTTCTGATATCGTCTGCTTTCAACCAAGATCCATCTGACATCAGCAATGAAAACCCTTATTCTACCTCCTCTTCTGAATTTGGCTTGGATTATCAGTTATATGTTTTGCAAAATCTTCCCCCAGTCTGTGACTTGTCTTTTAGCATCATCTTTTCATTCATTTAACTGTCTTTTGCAGAGCAGAAGTTTTTAATTTTAATGAAGTCTAGCTTATCGATTTTACTTTAATGAATTGTGCTTTTTTGTGTTTTATCTAAAAGTCATTGCTAGACCAAAAGCAATCTAGATTTTCTCCTATATTATCTTCTAGAAGCTATGTAGTTTTTTGCACCTTATATTTAGATCTATATAGCCCATTTAGAGTTAATTTTTGTGAAATATATCACCTCTCTGTCTAGATTACTTCTTTGGCATGTGGACGTACAGTTGTTCAGTAGTTGTATTGTTTATGTGGGCAGAGTGCAAATTGTTTTGGGCCAGAGGACAGACCATGGGGGTTTAAAAATAGATCCACAAATTCTTTAATGGCATCCCTTCAAATGATGGAGCTTAATCTCTCTCTCTTGGATGTGGGATGAACTTAGTAACTTCCTTCCATCAAATAGTAATATGGCAAAATTGAGAGTTTATTTCTTCTAAAACTAGATAATAAAAAACACTAATATTTCCTCCTTATTGCTTTCTTAGATCATTCACTCTGGGGGAGTTAGCTTTATTGATGACAGTGATAGTTCAGGTTTTGGTTCAGCCAGGATTCCCAGTGGTTTGGCAGTTGAGAAGTGGTTATACCCATGGTGAAACCTAATACAGGTATAATTAACTCTATGATGATTGGCTAAGAGCAGCCAATTAATTGAAAGGATGTTTCCTTGGACATGCAGGAAAAGCTTGCTCTCTTTTCCACTGGATCCGGATCTCGTATTTGGGTCATCCTCCAATCTCCAGTTCTTTGGATCTGAAGCCAGTAAGTAGCTGGCTTGTTTATCTGCTTGTCTGCCTGCTGGGCCCACTCACCAATCTTGGCTCACCTGGTCTGGACTTGGGACTTCCGTCTACTGATCTTCCTGCTGGATCCACCTGCCAATCTTCACTCAGCTTACCTAGACTTGAGACTCTCCCACCTGTACAATTGTGAGCCATTTCCTTGATATAAACTATATGTGTGTGTACATGTGTGTATGTGTATATATATACACATATATACATAGAGAGACAGTGAGAAAGAGAGTTCTGGTGTGGTATTGGGATCATAACTGGACTGTGAACCATAGGGTCAGCAGTTCAAACCCACCAGCTGCTCCTTGGAAATTCTATACAGGGTTGCAATGAGCAACTGGCTCGACTGCACTTAACAGTAAAACACACACACACATCTATATGTGTGTATCACTGGTTTTTCTTCTCTAGAGGACCCACCCTAAGACAATGATATAAACATCCTATGAAAAAGTCTGTGCACCAAGGCAGTAAGGCTTTCTGCCAATAGTCATATGAGTGAACTATCTTAGAAGCAGATTCTCCAGCCCCAGATGAGCCTTCATATGACTGCAGCCCCTGCTACTATCTTGACTGTCACCTCCTGACAAATTCTGATCTAGAACTATTTAGCAAAGCTTTTCCAAAATTTCTCACCCTCACAAATTATGTGAGATAATAAATGTTTATTATTTCAAGCCACAAAGTTTGAGGAATTTATTATCTAGAAATAGATAACTCATATACCAGGTCTTTATCAAGAGGAGGAAATTATATACAGACAGTAAATAATTTATCTATTTGTTACCTGCCTAGCCTCTGTGGCTCCTGTAAAATAATCACAAGGTTATTTTCTACAATTGGGTTACATACATCTCTAAGGCAGGGGTCATAATATCCCTTTATTTGATGTCCCTTCCCCTAGGATGACTAATCCATTATGTCTTCCAGTCAAAATCTTTGTTAAGTTACCAGGAGGAGGAGCACCATGGGGTCAGAGAGTAGAAATTTGTGGAATGTCTGTCCTACCCAACTTCCCAGCCTCTACATTTGTTGTTGTTGTTATGTGCCATGGAGTCGGTTCCGCCTCATAGCGACCCTATACAGGGTTTCCAAGGCTGTAAATCTTTACAGGAGCAGACCGCCTCATTTTTCTCCCGTGGAGTGGCTGGTAGGTTTGAACTGCTGACCTTGTGGCTCGCAGCCCGATTAGTAACCACTACGCTACCACAGATCCTTAGCCTCTACATTAGTGTCACAAAATTAGCTTTTGATCAAATGTGGTCAAAGTAAGACCTAAAAGGAAAGTAAATGAAAAATAAATTAGTTATACATATTATGTTGAACCATATGAAATTGCCAATATGGGCTAAATTAGTAGTACCATATGGCTCAATCTAATACTACACATTTAAAAAAAAAACAAAAAACACTTTAAATTGAGTGAAGATTTAAAAGGCTGATCACTAGTTTTACATTAAATAAATCATATACTTTGTTTCATCTTAATGATTGCAATCCCCTCCATGTAACAACAGTTACCCCACTGTGGTTCTATTTCCATTCCACCCTCCTTCCCAACCCTTCTGAACTTTGTCCTGAGGTAAATGATGCCCTTTTGATCTTGAATGATTGTCCATTCCATGGTAAGCACACCTTACTAGTGTTGTTATCCCTCCTATATACCTATCACTTGACTGAAATTTGGGCCACAAGGGTGAGTTCCATTCTAGACCTGAAGGGTGGCTCAGACCATAGTCTTGGGTTCCTCCAGTCTCTTTCTGATCAGTATTATTCCACATTTTCTCCCACTCTACCTGGGACCCTCTAATGGGATTCCTTTCAGAGCATTTGGTAACAGCAACTGGGCATCACCTTGTTTCTTCTGACCTCAAAGTCATGAAAACGGATGTTCATAAACACACAAATGTTAATGTATTCAATCCACTCCCAATGTTTCCCTGCACTCCTCTAGCTGGCTGGATTGTGACTCCAGCTAGATGGATATTATATGACAAAGATCAATCATTGGTACCCTCCTAGGTGGCTGGTCTCTCTGTACAAAATATCTGAATCTCAACCCACATAGTGCTGCCCGAGCTGGCTGCTGTGTGCCTCTGTGAGACTGAGTTTATGACCCAAACGAGTAACTTGTCTTTTGGTCTTAGGACCTAATCCTAATCATTTCCTTCCGTGTCATGTTTGATTCTAAAGAACATACGAGGCTTGGGTGGAGAGCAGTGAGTAGCCAGGGACAGTGAAGTGGTGGCAGTATCAAGGTAGAGGGCTCTGTGTGTCTTGGCCATCTGAACTGGGTTTAAAGAGTTGAATTACTGTCCAGGACACATTTGATCTGACCTCCAGGACAGTATAATCTTACCACCTAATGTGCTCTCAGTGTTTAAACCTGCCTCTTATTGTGGGTCCATTTTGCTTTTGAATTCTTCACTATGAAAAAAAAAACCCAGTTTATCAGTGATATTACTCTCCTGGTCAGCTCTGACTCAACACATCTAAATATTGGGAAAGATAACACAAGGTAGAAAGCGGCTTAGCTCTAGGGAGGTCTTTGCTTGTGTGCAAGTGTACTGTGGTAGAGGTTTGGGAGGTTTAGGGACCAAAGAAGGCCAAAAGACTCCTAGAAGGGAGAACCAGGAAACAAACTTGTTCTTTTATCCCTCTTACTTTCCCTTTACCTGATTCCACTTTGCCTCAATAACTGCCAGATGTGATTTTAAAAAGAGACAATTTATTCCACATCACCTAAGCTGGAAGCAAGGCAGGAACAAAGAAGAGGAATGCAAAGCTGGCCTAAAGTCTTCTCTTTCTGATTCTTCCCACTGATGAGAGGGCAACATATTTAAGGTCTGGGGGAAAGATGAGGAGAGGGACTCAGAAAAATGGACAGAACCTGATGCCTAAGGAGCCCTCAGGAAAGGGTATAGGGATATCATTTTTCCGAAGATTCTCGGCTTCCAGCTTGCAGCCAGTAGTCTCTATGTCCTCATTCAGAAAGTTTTCAGCAGCACTTACACTGCTGCAGGACACGGTGCCAAAGGGTCGTGTCAGAACCAGACTCCAGAAATTGTTTTGGTTGAAGTAGCAAAGGACCGCTGGGTAAGGACAGAGAATGGAGAAAAGAAAAGTTAAAGAGTGGGGGGGAAACAGGGTGAGGCCAAAGGGAAGATAAGTTCCTAAGGACCTATCCCTGGGGAATGCCACCCCTCTGCTCCACCCATGCCCGCTTCTTTCCCTAGGAACCGCAGGGCCACTTACCACAGGCAACATACAGAAAAAACACCAGCCAACCAACGAAATAGCTCCAGCCAATGGGAACTGATAAATTATTCTTCCATTCAAAGATCCAGAGGTTAATAGGGAACAACATGAGGGTGAAGAAAATGAAGGTGACTGGGAGACAAGAAGTGGAGAAGTCTCATCCTCATCCAAGAATCACACAGGGACTCTTCCCCATCTGCTAAGCTACAGCCACAAACCACAACTCCCATCACCACACATAGAGTCATGGCCCCAGAGGTTCATGGGAATCAGCCCCTCTACCTCCACCTCTTGAGTGGCAGAGAAAGGATGTATCACAATTCTCAACCAACAACTACTAGTTCTGTTCTCTCACCACCCACAAAACCTATAAAAAGAGGAAAGAGAGAAGTGCCCAGGAAGGAGTGGGTTAGGAGAAACTCAAGGCCTTTTCCAGAGCTAGGGGGCACCTTCACAGAAGCTCATGATGGTCCCAATCCAGCCAAAAGAAGGCAACCTCTGTAGACCAGGCAAGTATGGCAGATGCAACCAGATGATGAGAACAAAGCCCAGACCAAGGGCCAAGTAGAAGGTTATTTTGGCCAGCTCATAGAATGGCTGATTTGCCCATTGTTTAAAAGTCTCTGGGAGGAATGAGAAAACAGAAAGAAAAAACCAGTTTCATCAAAGAGGAAATAATCAAATAAGCTAATACAAGAAAATGTTCAGGTTCATTAATAGCCAAAGATATACAGATTTAAAGCAAAAATGAAATACCACTTTTACTTAAATAAGTAAAGATTCTTAATATTGAGGTTGTTTGGTAATATCAACTCTGTGAAAAAAAAAAAAAAAAAGGACAGAAGACTTGAACTGATGTTCTCAAAAAAAAGAAACACTAATGCCCAGTAAACATATGCAACCCAACACAAAGGAGTGCAAGTTAAATGAGGTTTGTTTGTTTTTTTTTAATTTATCAGATTATCAAATTTCAAAATAAAATTGACAATACGTAGTGTATGGGCTGTAATTCTGTGGGTTAATGTGCTGGACTGCAATGCCAGTTTGAACTGCAAGGTCAGTGGTTCAAGCTCACCATCCACTCCTCGAAAACCCTATACATGGTTGCTCTGAGTCGGAACCGATTCAATGGTATTTAGCAACAACAAATGTATGACTCTGGAGTCCTGGTGTGGTACTGTAGGATAAGCTACAAGGTCATGGCTGAAAACCTACACAGGGTCGCTAGGAGTCAGAACCAACTTGACGGCACTTAACAACAGCAGTGAAGGACAATTACTCTCACATACTGCTTATGGGCAGTATTTCTGGTGATTTGGCACAAAGTAGCCAAAAATTGCAAATTGTTAAGGCCCTATGACCTACCAATGCTTCTTCCTGAGAATAAGGTTAAGGAGATAATCAGAATTATGCATCAAAATCTAGGTACAGGGTAGTACTTTACAAGTTTATTTGTATGCCCAATCAGAAATTTAATAAGAGATGTATTTTTTTAAATTATTGTTATTGTTAGCCACTGTTTTGTGCCCTCTTCCCCCAACTCATGGTGATCCTACATACAACAGGATCAGACCATTGTGATCCATAGGGATTTCATTGTCTGATTTTCAGAACTAGATTTCCAGGCTTTTCTTCCTAGTCCATCTCAGATTGGAAACTTTGCTGAACTCTACTCAGTACACAACAATACAAAAGCCTCCACTAACAGATAAGTTCTTTGATTCCTTGACGGCTGCTTCCATTGAGGGTTGATGGTTGATCCAAGCAAAATAAAGCCTTTGGCAACTTCAATCTATTCTCCATTTATATGGATGTTGTTTATTGGTCCAGTGGTAAGGATTTTGTTTTCTTTACATTGAGGCTCAACCCATACCGAAGGCTGTGGTCTCTGATCTTCATCAGTAAGTATTTTAAGTCTTCTTCAGTTTCAGCAAGCAAAGTTGCATCATCTGCATATCGCAAATTGTTAATGAGTCTTCCTCCCCAAGCCTGATGCCACGCTTTCTTCATATAACCCAGTTTCTCGGATTATGTGTTCAGCATACAGATTGAGTAAGTATGGTGGAAGGATACAACCCTGGTGCACACCTTTCCTGATTTTAAACCATTCAGCATTCCCTCATTCTGTTTGAACGACTATCTCTTGGTCTATGTACATATGTACAGGTTCCTCGTGAGCACAATTAAGTGTCCTGGAATACTCATTTCCCACAAGGTTGTCTTTATCTTGTCAGATTCCACACAATCAAAAGCCTTTGTGTAGTCAATAAAGACCTTGTAAACATCTTTCTGGTATTCTCTGCTTTTAACCAAGATCCCATCTGACGTCAGCAATGATATCCCTAATTCCACGTCCTCATCAAATCTAGTTTGAACCTCTGGCAGTTCCTTGTCAATGTACTATTGTAGCCCTTTTTGTATTATCTTTAGCAAAATTTTACTTGCATGTGATATTAATGATACTGTCCAATGATTTCCACATTCCATTGTGTCACCTGTCTTTGGAATGGGCACAAATAAGGATCTCTTCCAATCAGTTGGCCAGGTAGCTGTCTTCCAAATTTCTTGACATAGATGAGTGAGTGCCTCCAGTGTTGCGTTGTTAATTTATTGAAAGATTTCAATTTGTGTTCCATCAATTCCTGGTGCCTTGTTCTTTGCCAATATCTTCAGTGTACTGTGGACTTCTTCCTTCAGTATCACGGGCTCTTGATCATATGCATTGTGTTGCATTAGACAAATCTGATGCATAAGATCTCTTTAAAGTGTTCAAGGGCAAAGATGTCTAGGTATTTTCAATAACCTCATATGCATTTGAAAAAAAAATTAAGAAGACCATAGAAGAATTGATACATTTGAGTTATAATGTTGGAGGAGACTATTAAAAGTACCATAGATTGCCAAAAGACCAAACAAATCTGTGTGAGAAGAAGCACAACCAGAATGCTCCTTAGAAGCCAAGATGGCCAGACTTCGTTTTTCATACTTCAGACATATTATCACTATGTGATGATAATATGGCACTAACCCACAGCGCCACACCAGGACTCTGAAGAAATGGTAACAGAGGTCAAAAGCTCTGATTTTCCCTAAGAACTGAGAATGGAGGCCCAGTAACTCAGTGGTGAGGGGACAATATAGAATGTGACTAACAACGGGGAGTCCTGGTGTGGCACTGTGGGTTAGTGTGCTGGACTGCAAAGTCGGTTTGAGCCACAAGGTCGGCAGTTCAAACTCACCAGCCTCTCCTTGTAAACTCTATACAGGGTAGCTGTATGGGTTGGAACTGACTCGATGGCACTCACCAACAACAACAACAAGAATCAGGGGAAGGAGCCAGTTGCCCTTGCATCAATCCAAACTCATGGTGACCTCAAGTATGTCAGAGGAGGCCTCCATAGGGTTTTCAATGGCTGATTTTTTTCAGAAGATCACCAGACCTTTCTTTCAAGAAACTTCTGCCTTTCAGTTAATAACTGATTGTATTAAATTTTTGTGCCACCCAGGAGAAGGTAAGTTGTGGTGGTGGTGGTGGTGATGTGCCATGGAGTTGGTTCCGACTCACAGCAACCCTGACAGGGCTTCCGAGGCTGTCAATCTGTTCTGCTCCAGGATTCCCAGTTCTGAACACACCCAGAGGTCTTATACAAAAGGGTCTGGTGATATGGTTTCAAAAGCTCTGAGGGTACAGTTCCCGGAAAAGCACAGGTCGCCACAAATCAGAATCAATTGGTCACCAACTGGTTCGGTTACTTTTTTCACTTGTGCTGAGAGTCCACACCCACGTAACTTTTTGATAAGCACAAGCTTGACCATTAACCTTATTCAAAGCAGTAACATTTTCCCAATGGGTCATGCTTGGGGAGAAAAGTGATCATTGGAGATCTCAGTGCCAGCACAGCTATTTTGTGGGCATGAGCCCGAAAGTGAGAATGCCCTGAGGGAGGGAGAGGGGTGGGAATACCAGGAATTTGGATGTGGAGGCCCTGGAGAGAAGCAGAGCTGGGCCTCACCTTTCCCATGCTCTAGGTTGTGACAGATATGCAAGAGCCCATGGACATGATCTGGGCCTTGGTGTGGATTTTAGCACTGACATTTGCTGGCCAGCGCTGGTAGAAGCGGCTCCTGGAGAGGTACAGCCATTTCTTGGAGAAGACCAGCACCAGCAGCAGGATGAAAGTGATTAGGCTGAGCTCTGAGGCCAGCACCTGTAATGTCCAGCTGGAGGTAGTTGTCCATCGCAGGGCCAGCATGGACTCCTGGCAATGGACCATGGGCAACTGCCTCTTTCTTTGGGAAGTGGGGAGCCGCACTTTCTCACCTGTCCTAGGCTTGCTTCCACTATGTGCTGCCTTCCAGCCCTCCCCTTCCTTCCCAGGTGGTGTCTGCTGCTCATCACTTTCTCCTCTTGACCCTCATGACCCTTGGAGTTCACCACAAAGGTCCTTGCTCCCCTCTGCAGAATTCCTTGTCTCTTTAGCTATCCTCAACAACATTGCCCCATTCCCTTGCCAGGCTCATCAGTTGTCCATCATCTTTTAAATATTTTCCTCAGGCAAAGCAATTGTCATCATAGGTCCTAGAATCTGGAAAAGACCTGGGGGGGGGGGCGTCTTATTAGGCACCTGAGCTCCTGATCCAGGACAGGATCCCTCACCCACTCAGCAGGACAGGAGGGCCGCAGCCCTTCACCTTCAGCACCTTCACCAAGGACACTCTGTTCCTTCAGGCCCCAGCTCAGAACTGTGGATCTGATGCCTCCCTTTAGTTTCTGGTTTCCCTTCGCCCAAGAAGAATGGTCTCGCAGCAAGCTAAGCCCTACAACGTTCAATAGATTCCTGTGAACCCAGGTGGAGACCTGGTTGGCCAGCAGTGTGGCAAGACCTGGGGACTCTTGGGCTCAGAGTCAGTGACACAGCCACAGAGGACTAGAGTGGAGAATGAAGCATCCAGCTGATAAGAAGAGAGCGGATAGATGCAAGAACACCCACACTTGCAGATAATACCCACTTGACCTGGCTTCAATGACTAGATGATCAGAGCTCAACCCAAAGAAGAAAGAAGAGGAAAAAAGCATCATCTGATACAATTTAATGAACTTGACCTACACCTATGGATGCAGTAGCTTAAAAGAGGAATAAATCCTTACTGCAAGAATCATTTCCACCCCCTCCACACAAAGAGTAGACAGGGATGGGCAACTTGGACATTGGCTACCCAAAATGGGGGGAGGGGGGCTACAAAGGCAAGAAGTGACTGGCTTACAAGCTTTCAAGAGGGAACCTAGATCCAGAGGGCATGGAGGAAGGTAGAGTCTCCAGTGAGTAGTATCCAAACTGTCTAAGAAGGGCTGATAAAATGAAATGCAGATGGGTCTCTTGTGATGCAATAGTGAATAATTCTTATCAGGACTGATTGTGAGGGTTGGGAATGTAAAGGTGGACATTTTATAGCAAGGAGGGGAGTGATTAACTTTTCAGTCTAGGAGCGGAGGGCCCTGGGACTATCAATGGAGAAGAGCAGAGAGCAGCACCCTACCCAGAGAAGCAGTAATGCCTGAGAAGGAGGCAGAGACGTTGACATGGAGAGATGGAGTGGCTAGGGACCTGAGATCCAGAGAGGGAAAGGCGCTGTGTGCTGACGACCGGGGGTGGGGGGTGGGTAGGCTTGCAGGGTATACCCTTTGATTGGTTGATGATGCATGGATGGGATTATAACTATGGCAATGAAACGATACATGATAGAATGAATGTAAAACTAATGTTCTCCCATGTAAACTATCACATAATTCACAATAAAACAGTTATTGAAAAATAATAATAAAAAAAGAACAATAGTCTCCCCATTTCCTAACCCCCACCCCAAGTGCTCACTGGTGGGGAGGGGAAGGAAAATGCTTCCCCATTATCCTCAGGAAAATGCTCCTCCATTGCTCTTGGAGTCCTTGAGTGGCGTAAAGGGGTAAAGGCCCTACTACTAGCTGAAAGATTGGTGGTCTGAACTCACCCTGAGGCAGCTAGGGAAAAAGGCGTAGCAATATGCATCCATAAGGAGGGCAATTCTACTCTGTATACGTGTCACAACTGACACAAAAGCAACTGGTTAGGTCTTGATTTTTCCACTGCTCTTTAGAACTGTCCTCCAAATACATGGTCAGCTTCTCACTACTTTGTACCACACTGCCTTCTCCCTACTCACTTCTGGTCCATAGTTGCCAATCCCTTCCCTCTTCCGTTTCTTCTTCTTTTCACTGTTTCTTCTCAGTATCAGAGGATGCAGAGGGGATGTGAGGGTGTCAAGCAGCCTGAACAGATTTTTCCAACTTCCATTTTAAGTTCTAGGAAAACAGTTTAACACTAATCACTTCTAGGGGACTCCTGGTGCAGTGCTGTAGGATTAGCACTGGATCGCGAACCTCAAGGTTGGCAGTTCATGACTATACTCTTTATGGCAGATTGCCAGGCCTTTCTTCAGCAGCACTGCTGGATGAACTGAACTGCCAACTTTTAGGTTAGTTTTGCTGTTTTGTTTAGTGCCATCGAGTCGATTCCAACTCATAGCAACCCTGCACAGGGTTTATGAGGACCCCCTGGTGGGTTTGCATCGCCAACCTTGCAGTTCAAACGGACCTTGTAGCCTCAGTGCTTATCCTACAGTACCATGAGTGCAAATTGTTTGCAACATCCAGAGAGCCCATACCTCCACTAGCCCCTTGGAATTCCCAAATTGAGGATGTGAGTTTGAATCCCACGAGAAATGGTTTACTTTGGGTAGACAATGGTTCGTGCAATTAAGAACACAGGCTTTGGAATCTGACCATCTTAAGAATCAATAATGAGTCTTCTTAGCCTCCATGAACCTGGGTGGGTCATGTAGCTTTTTTATGCCTTGGTTTACTCATCAGTAAAACAGAGATAATAATATTTACCTCATAGAGCTGGTTTGAGTATTGAGTGAATTAAAGAACACAAGCACTTACTGATTCATAATAAATTTCCACTACCGGTACACCATACCAGCCACTCCGTGGGAGAAAGATGAGGCTGTCTACTCCCGTAAGGATTTACACCCTCGGAAGCCCTGTACAGGGTCGCTATGGGTCGGAACCGACTCGACGGCACTTAACAACAACAACCGGTAAACCAAGTCAATTCCAACTCAAGGTGACTTTGTACCTAACAGAATAGATATGTGTTCCACAAAATGTTCGATGGCTGAGTTTTCTTTCAGACACAGATCACTAAGCCTTTCTTTCAAGGTCTCTCTGTTGGACTCAAACCTCCAACGTTTTGGTTCAGTTATTGTCATTGTTTTGTGGCCTTCCACAAACGAAAGGGCAACAATAAAGAGGATAATTCCAGGCAGACATCCTTGTATATTGTTGTTGTTATGTGCCATTAAGTCAGATCCAACTCACTGCGACTACATAGGGTTTCCAAGGAGCAGCTGGTGGGTTTGAACTGCCAACCTTATAGTTAGCAGTCCAGTGCTTATCCTACAACACCACACCACGAGTCTTTGTATATTAGTGGCTGCAAATGACTGGAGCCAAAATTAGTTTAAACAAAAAGGGAGTTCATCATGAATCGCACAGTCAGGTGTGCAGTTCAGTAATGCGTGGAATCGGAGATTCAGATCCTGTGAGGGCTCCGTCTCTGCTCCCCACCCCTCCAGGAGCATCTTGCTCTTCTAGGGCACACTCTCCTCTGGTCCACCTGGTGGGAAACATGGACGGTCCTCAGTTTCTGAGAGGGACCTCTCAGTCCCAAGTCCAAACATTCTCTGGCCCTGCCAGGGTCCACACCCCCCGCCCCTCAAATAATCAGTCTCAGTCAGGGGCACCTGGGTCTGGAGGTAGAACTTGGAAGATGTCGGGGAGGGGACAGTGCTGGTAGAGGAGGTACTGGGCCATCGGGAACGTCATTCATGCAGAGGCAGTCATCATCAGTATTGAGTTCCCTTCCTTGCATCTGATTTTGTTTTTTCCTGGAGTTTCTCCTAATAACAAGCAGTTGTGGCTCAAATGGTTTGATTGACTGCTAAGTTATAGATTGGTGGGTCGGAACCGACTCGACGGCACTAAACAACAACAACAAACAACAACCCACCCAACCTGGTGAGGCGCCATAGGATAAGCATTCAACCTCAAGGTCGATTTGAACCACAAGGTCGGCGGTTCAAACTCATCAACTGCTCCTTGGAAATCCTATACAAGGTTGCTATGAGTCAGAACCAACTCAACAGCACTTAACAACAACAACAACAACCCACCCAGCCATACTGTGGAAGAAAGGCCTTTTGATCTGTTTCTATTAATATCACAACGCAGCCCCTTCAAAAAAAAAAAAAAAAACAAGCACCCTATGGAGAAGTTCTATTCTGTTAAGTCATAGGTTGCCAGGGGTCAATATCATTATACAACAGCATGAAAGAATCATTGAAACATCATGTTTCATGAGAAACCTAACTACACACAACATACTATTCTCATAAGAGCTCCAAAACAGGCACAAGTAAGCAATGCCTTGGTTAAACACACAGACTTTTATGATTGCAGAGTATTTTCTAAAAAGCAGTGGAATGATAACACAAAGTATTGTGTGGTGGTTGCATTTCAGGAAACACAGGGAAAGAGGACAGGTACATGCACGTTATTGGCAATCTTCTAGTTGTTAGGGTGATAAGCGCTCAGGTACTCATCACAGTCTAGTCATTTATAAATAACATATTTCATATAACCCTGTGAATATAGCAAAGATTGTTTTTCCAAAGGTAGTTAAAAATAGCTCAAGAAAGGAAATGTCATCTCAGTGACTGATAGCTCTGCAATGAAAGGTGTTTATACCATCACAATATGTATGGTAAACACTGTTAATTGAGCTTTGACTTTTCAAATCAACAGATGGACAAAACTCGGAAGACTAAATTACAGGTTACAAAAATAAACATACTTTTATCAGTCTTAATGTTGCCCAAGTAAAAGTCTAGAAGAGATAAGCTGGAAAGCGGAAGAAGGAAAAGAGAGCTGAAGGGAAGAGTAGAGGAGCTGACAACAGAACCTCCATATAAAGTTGCACAGGGTGTGCACTGCACAAGAGCAAACAGCTGGGCGAGGAGAGGGGACTGAAGTCTGATCTGCATTCTGCTCAACAAGCCATGTTCCCTAAAGGAGGTTGCATAGGCCTGGAGGAAGGAGTGACTTTTTCCTATATCTCATAAAGGTGTTGGGTCCCTAGCCCAGCCAACCAACCTTTCCATTATCAATCCAGAATAC